GCCAATCACAACACACTGGATAGCTGGCCAATCACAGCACACCTCGCTTTTCAGACCGATGAGCTTTGTAAAAATCGACGCGTTTCAAAAAGGCGGGGCATAGAGGAGAAACAATAATGTACAGTATGTGGAAAATAATGTGTTTTTTTTTACTTTAAACCGCATAAACACATTTCATTACACCAAATACACAAAATAATGTTATTTTTAGCAACATCATATGACCCCTTTAAAGAAAAATGCAAATGTAAATCTTGACTGTACTTGATATACTGCAACATCAGTCACAGCTTATCTCGCTGTAAGGGCTCTTTGTAATTGACCTTGATTTTGAAGCATCATATTCGTCTTGAATTAATTTAACTGTGCACCACTACTAACCGTGACCTTGCAAACATATATTTAATACCTGTATATTGCCCAGCCCTAATGTGCAAGATAACTTGGAAATGTAAAAAAGTGTGGAAGCAAGCAAAAGCAATTTTTACCCTCCGCATCTTCAGAGAGAGGAAATCAGAAAGATAAATCGCACATAATCAATTTCCTCATTAACACGCCGTGCCTTCGAGAACCTCAAACAATGAGAAATGGGAAGGGCGTAAATGTTTTCTTATCATGATTTGTGTCATATCTGGGGGGAAAAAAACATGCACACACTCTCATCATAAACAGCCTACTGGCTTAAAAATAGAAGAAACAAATATCAGTTAGATATCTGTTAGATATTTATGTCTAAGGATATTAAATGTCATTGGGAGGTATGGAGGTTTCCTGATTCTTGTTCTTGTTTTTTTTTTCTTGTTTTCTTTTGTACTTCTTCTTCTTCTTCTGTCATTATGTTCTACTAGCATTAGGCTGGAAGAAGTAGAATGAATCAAACATTAGAATAAAGATGCTGACTAACTTTGTTTGTTTTGTAATGTGCAATATTTATTTGCATTTATTTTGTTTTTGTCTTATTTATTGTTTTAGTATGAGTTTTGCCAACTAATTTCTAGTAATTGCATTTTTGTTAAGTCAGTAATTAAACAGGCAGGAATCTTTGTGGAGTTTGTTTGTCAATTCTAGGAGCTTAATCTCAAATTTGGCAAGCGGCAGACACTCATTTTGGCATGTTTCTTTGCAGGCTTCTCCAAAAGTAAAAGCCTTTCAGACTAATAAAATAAGTTTGAAGATGATGATGAATATTCAATAGTTTGAAAATGAGGGTAATCATTATTTGTAAGTCACAAAAATCTTTTCTTTTCAAAGCATAATAATTAGTAAGGCATTTGTTGTTCATTCATTGTGAATTTTTACACATGACATTCTCAAACAGCACATATTCTCTTTCAAGGCAAGTCATAGGCATATTCTCTTTAAAGGCAGGTCCGCTCTGCAGCCATCTTGGTATCGTCCCTTGGCAGCTTTTTCCAATCATGCAATTAAAGCACCGATCTGCTTGAATGGGTGAAAAATTAAAAAGGGTTTGCCAATGTTAGTGACCATCTAATATTTTGTTCTCTCTGTTTTTCTCTGACAGGGTAGTTTGAGGAGCAGCAGTCAGATCTCTCCTCAGGAGTTTCTGAGTGAGCTGAAAGGAGGTGCCACCGATGAGAGACTGTTTGCTTGTTTAGACTCCCTCAGAGTGTCACTCACCAGCAACCCAGTCAGGTACTCACTCAAAGAAACCTAAACTGTTTACAACATTAAATTTCAAATATGAGATCAGTCATGCTTTTTGGCTTCAAAGTTTTCCTGTTTCTCTCTAACTTATGTAATTTAGCAGGATATTTTTGCTGTTTTTTCTTCTCTAGAAACCTGCTCAGCTTACACAAACACGCATTTACTCTGGAAGGCATCCACAAACTCTTACGCACATCTAAAACTTGACAAGCCAGCTTGATATTGCGACTCGCTGTGAATACTCAAACACACACTGAGCTATCCAGCCTAGCCACCTACCACATCTGACCTCCGTCACTTGCCCATCGGTGTGTAACTCAGCGGCATGCCCCGTGATTTCAGACTAGATCAGCATTACACACTGGCATTCATTAATATGTATTACCGATTGCCACGTCGCCCCAGGTTTTCCCTCCTACCTCTTAATTGTTTGATGCCGTTTGCGATGAGCTCCCCTGCTGTTCGCCCGCATTTGTACTGCAAACATGACAGAGAGGCCTCTCCAGGAGGGTGAAGATGATAAACAATTTTTGAATAGTGTTTTTTTTGTGTTTTGAATAGGCTTTGCTTTTTTCCTTTTTTTGTGACCATTAAAATGACTATTTTAACAGCATAGTTATAAGTGCAGTTCACAGAGAGACGCATGCTGCGGGGCAATGGTTGGAAGTGTACAATGACAGGAGAAAAAGGTTGATATGAGAGGAAATGCATATTTCATTCTCATGGTAGTGTGACTGTTGATGTCATTCTGTTGTCCTTGGATACATTTTTTTATTTTGTTTTATTGTCGCTTTTATAGTTTTTGCAGACTGAGCTTTTTATTGATCTTTCAAAACATTTTTGGAATATATCGAAGCCTGCACATTTCAAGTGACTAAAAGTTTTTTTAAAGGCAGTGCTAGGGGCTCCAGAATCATTTGCTTTGTAATCCGAGCACAGACTTATAACAAGACATTGTTTAATTTGTTGGATAACGTGACCTTAGAAGCATCACGAGTGCGTTGCTTTAGGACACTCATTTTGTCCAGTGTCCTTTTCATCTGCAACATTTTCCTCATTCTAATCACAAAAAATCCAATAGATAAGTGGGTTAGAGAGCCGAGTGTGTGCGTGCAGATAAAGTTATTACAGATGGTTAAATTTAATTTGACAGACCGCACTAAGCAGTGTGTCTAATTTCAAAGTCTGTGGATGGAAAAATAAACCTCATCTGTGATGATGGAGGAGAGAAAGGGAAAGTCGAGAGCACGTTCGAGCAGGAGAGTCGGTGTTAAACTGTTTTCATCAGCGCTGCATTCTTTATTGGCATAATTCATGAAATGTCATGATTTCTATTAGCACCCAAACGTCGTTCTGGCACATGCAGCTGTTCGTTATGGCTGTGAACGTCACGGGCGGAATGATCCACAATCAGAGAGCAATGGCTGACCTTGCGTGGATAGTGTAGCCTGAACATTACTCACACCTGGCGCCTTATCATTTGTTCCTGTGCAAGGATAAAACTTCTCCAAACAATTCAGTCTTTTTTTAATGAGTGTTTTTGCCATTGTCTGGCTACAGTATGACACAAAGTTGTTTTATTTGGCTATGCTGATGAAAGCCTGCAGTGTTGTATTTTTATAGGTCACTGGTGTGGGATGAATAAAGCCAGGATAAGGATAGGAAACAAAGACTTAAGTAAAACTTGATTCGTTGCTAAAAAGGTTCATTGAGTGTGAATGCTCAGTCAAGAGGAAATGCACAACATTTAGACACTCACAGTGGTTTTTTGTTCATTAAGACTAGATTAGCCTGTATTTTAGGTTGTGAGGACCTTGATGAGTATTTCACAGTGGGGGCGGGAATGTAGAGACTAATTCTTCTAATAGACGACATGATTGATCCATGTAGCCTCATTACGGTGAACTTCTCTAGCTTCCACATGCTTTGCAATAAGAAGCAACAGAGAAGGCCGTGACAATTCCCTAATGAAAATGGACATATGGTATTTTATCATAACTAGGATCCCCACAGGTCCCTCTCAGCGAATCCCAGTTGGAACGTCTGGATGTTTATATTCACATGCAGTCAAGGCTGATATTGGCCCACATTGTAAGTCATTTTACTATTATGACAGTTTCTTCTTTTCTTCTTTTCCTTAGAGGCTGAGAAAACTGCCTCATTGTAAGATAGGTTGTTGCTTCTGTTACGAACCCCACTTTTACAAGACTCGATCAGGAAGGGGTTAAGCAACATAAAAAGGACGCGCAAGACAGGAGATCAATTTAACCATTTATTAATGGTAAAACAGCTTACGAGTCACATTAATTAACCAACAGCAGATATAATAAAGAGTTAAATCAACTAAACTAAAGCAAACTAAATCAATATGTATCCAGTAAACAAACAAAACACAGATCAACGGAAACATTAAAGAAAGCACAAAAATAAACACAGAGAGAGAGAGAAAGAGCACCGCTTATCAGCGGCTGGCTGGGCAACAAGACACGCACGAAGCTCACTGGATGCTCTCCATCGTCAGTGGCTGGACGGCAGCAGCTTCTCATCAAGTGCGAGTCATGCTCAAAGAGCGTGGCAGTGACTGTGGCGGACGCGCTGGAACAGGGAGAGCACATCAACACAAGCGCAACTTCCGCCTTATATTCAGTCCAGAGCGTCCTTACTCAACAAGCTGCAGGTGTGTAGGGGCGGAGCTCAACCTCGGGAGAAAGAGATGAACCAAATCAATATATACACACAATACCCACAAATAAACAAAACGTTGACCGTGACACTTCTTATTGTTAATTTTGGCCAAGAGATGCACAGTAAATTGGCGCCCATATTGCCATTAGTCGTTATTTATAGTGTTAAAATTGTTGGCATCAGTCTGCCTGGTGATTTCAAGTTTTTTTTTTTTTTCTCCAAATTTTATGCCAAAATTACTAGATTGAAGCTTTAGTTTGAACACTTTAAATGGAAAATGGGAAAGATTTAATAAGATTCAATTCATAAACATTATTTAATGCATCATAAGTTAGCATTAAACACACACACAGATACGTGTATACAAATAATGATAAAATCTGTTGTTTGTACAGTGTCACCTCTCTGGAGGCCTGAAATGCAACTAAATACAAAACTTTTTTTTTAAAGATCCTATCAACTGCCTTACATTTTATAAACCAAAAATTGGACTTATGTGATCGAGGGAAGGTAACGTTTCATCCCATCAGAGTCAAATTGAGCGTTTAACCTGCACCCACAAAGGTGACGATTGTACCTGCCAATGTTTGATTCTGTTAGCTGACGTACGAGGTCCTTCATGTCAACAGAATGAGATGTTGTACTCTGGGGAATCCACTCAGACTTCACCAAGGATCAAAAACATCACACATGGTGTTTTTAATAAATAAATTCTACTATTGTTTTCTTCCGAGTTCAGCTTGATAACTGGGATTCTTTGTAGCGATGGATTTAACACATCAATCATAGTGATTTAAGCTGAATGCTGATGACATTTTGATAAATGCTCTTTGTTTTATGTATCATCCTGTTTGCTGTTTTACTTGTCGAGTTGAGACAGTTCTATCCAGTTAGACAGTTCTAAGTTTAGTTTTAATTTCATATAGATATTCTGTTGTCAGTAGGATGATATGAGCACAGTTTTGCAGCAGTAGATATGTGTGTGTTTTCTGTGTGTGTGTGGTTGGTAATGATGAGCTTGATGAGTTTTGTGATCATGTGGGTGAGGCTGGCCATCCTTTGCTTGGCTGGCGTTTGATTTGTACTGTCATTCTCTCTCCTCCTCACATGGGGCATGAACACCAAGGATATGTAGGGGGCATAATTTATACCCATACTTCCTCTTCTGCTCAGGTAAGGCGTCTGATTGGATGAGTGAGTGATGTTTCCATTAGCTATGTGCACCATTGTGAGTGACATTTATTTTCACTCCTTTTTTGTGTCAGTTCAGGAGTTCATCCTCCCATCACAGCAGAATGCTAAATGATTTTGAAAAGACACCTGTTCTGATTTAGCAGGCCTTATCGTGCTCCACTGACTGTGACTGGCTAAATATTGAACGGGATGACCTAAACAAGGACACAGGGCATAGTGGAAAGATGGTAATATTTTCCTTTCTTATGGCTACTCCTTTAACAGGATTATCATCTTGCCATAGAATATCTGCCGGTCTTAACTAAAAAATACAAAAAAATCTCACTTTTTATTGTGAACTATAGAGAAATTCCTGATGTCATTGTATCTTTGCCCATCACATCACTCTTGCTTTATTATAAAGCCTAAGTGGGGTGACTAAGGCAGCATTCTAACTGTTATGAACCATTAAAGTGACTGGTTTGAAACGTTCTTCATAGGTGGCAGCTCCACATAAAACAAAGTGACTCGCAGCTGATTCTAGTACACCTTAGTCAGGGTAGCGCCATATTTAAATTTGGACAGACATAAAAACAAAGCTGTGAGAGAGAGGCCTGCGTTCAATGAATTGCACAGTTGTTTAAGGGCACACTGATTGTCCAGTTAATGAAACGTCTTTCCGGAAAAAAAAAGACGGCATAATTGTTACCTGCTGTTTTGAACTGCCTCTGTCTCAGGAATGTGCCTATGATGCCTCAAAATGCTGTCTGTGTATGCTTACTAGTTTTTGAAACAGCTATTGATATCACATTAAAATCACAGTCCTTCCATGTGCAACCATCAGCACTTTTCATCCTCTCTCTCTCTCTTTCTTGCTCTCTCTCCCCCTCTCTCTCTTTCTCTCTCTCTGTGTCTCTCACCCCTTTTGCTCTTTTTTTCTCCCTCCTATTTATCCAAGTGTCAACTCTGGACAGATGTGCTCTTGTCCCGACTTGTGTGGGGAGATGGAATATAAAGCATGTAATTTCCCTTGGGTTCAATAAAGTGGGCTGCCAGTTCTCTCCAGGAACCAGGATGAAAAAAAAAAAGTTTCTGCACAAGTTATTTCAGAAAGAGAGAGAAAGTGTTTC